ACCAACAATACTTTATCTTTTCTCGATTGTAACGTTACAAAATCTAATGGCCGTTTCCAGACTTCTGTGTTCAGAAAGTCAACGTTTACCGGTTTAGGCACCAGTTTTTTTTTAGTTTTTGCTCACTTCGTTTAAAATTAAATGGTATTAAAACATTAGTAAATCGTGGTTACCGTATTTGTTCAACTTTCAATGCTATGCACACTGAATTTGAATTTTTGCGCAGCATCTTTTCTTCAAATGGGTTTCCGTCGCAATTGATTTATACTCAAATTAAGAAATTCATGTCAAGGCAATATAATGAAGTTGTTCCCGATTGTGACAGTAGGAACCTGATTTACTGTTCTTCTCCCTACTTCGGTAAAGCATCTGAGACTATGGCTAAGGAATTGAAATATTTGATCAATAAATATCTCCCGAATGTAAATCTGCAGGTAATATTGGTGAATAACTTCAAAATCGGTTCGTTCTTCAAGTATAAAGATGCTCTCCCTCTTTTTATGCGTTCGTCCCTAGTATATAGATACAGTTGTGCGCAGTGCGCATCAGCGTACGTCGGCATGACGTCACGCAATTTTTACACTAGGCTGGCGGAGCATAAGGGCAGAAGTTTTAGAACGGGAACTTTACTTGCGCATCCTCCTCATTCAGCTGTGCGCGTCCATGCCGAGCAGTGCAATGTTCCGGTGTCCGATAGTGATTTTAGAGTTTTAGCTTACACGACCGGTGTTACTGACCTACGGATTTTAGAATCTCTGTGTATTTTTAAACAGAAACCTGGGTTAAATGCAGCCTTCAGCTCCTATCCCCTTGAAATTGTAAATAGATAGGCCTGTCTCCTTATGTGTATTTGTTTTTATTTTTGTCAATTTATGTTTTTATCTTCGATGTGAATTTAGTTTTCTAATTGATTCTGCTTTTCTTATAGGTTTTGAACTTTTGAACTGACGATGGAGCTGGACTCCGAAACGTTTTCATTTTTAAGAAATGGTTAATCTCTGGTTTGTTTTGGGTGGAGAAAAGTTGCAGCTCATATAGGTTAGACCTGAAGAAGTTAGGCCAGAGGAGGTTTGGCCAGATGCAGTATGGCCATGTCTACCTTTGGAAAGCTTATTTTGTGGCTGTGGACATCCGGCGCTATAGCTTTGAGCACTTGACTTCATAGGCTGTTGTGCACTCTAGCGTTCTTACCTATGGAAAGGAACATGAACCTAAGTGTGAAGTTTGGCAAAGCTGGCCTCCGGCATGCGCCCCGTGGGTTCAACAGCGAGGCTGACTAACCGGATGGGAAACTACAAATCTAACGTCCGCATATGTGAAATAAATTGCAAAAATCCGAATTTATAATAATAAAAATCCTATATTTTCCTATCAGCGTCAGGGGGGTCATTTTCAACACTGCCTTGAAGGACGTCGGTTGACAAGATGAACGCGCTAGCGCCGCTGCTGCTGATCACAAGTCTGGCAGCCGCCGCCCTAGCGCAAGAGACTCAACGACCGGAACCAGGTGAGGTTCAGCGCTCTGTTATACAGGGTGATTCACAAAAGTTTCCTGTTTTGTATTTCGTACCAAACAGCCAAATGTAGGAAAAGGGAAGGAAGTGTTTCATAAGAAAGGCAAGGTCATGAAGTTTTGTGTCTCGCCTAGTTAGTTGCCGCGATGCATTGGACAAGTGAGCAGCGTGCGTTTGCTGTCGAGGCGTACTTTTCTAATGGTCGTTTCATTATCGCTACTCAACGAGCATTCCACACTCGGCTCCGTATTCGTCCTTCAGGCCGGGTTCCTGATCGGAAATCGATGGGTACGTGGGTGAACACATTTAGAGCGAGTGCAAGTGTGAATGCAAGATGAACTGGATGTCAGAGGACTGCCGCAACACCCGAACACGTAGATTAGAGGCGAGAGGCGTTTCTGCGTTTTCCACACCGTACATCTTCCGCGACATCTTGCAGAGCGCCTCATCTACTTGAGAGATGACCTTCTATGGCCGACTCGATCCCCCGATTTGGCTCCGTGTGATTTTATCATGGGGTTATCTTAAATAAAATGCTTAAAATGACTCTCCAAGGACCCTACCTCATTTGACGAACAACATAAGTACGCCAAGCCATCTTCAACATACCCGTCTATATGCTTCAGCGAGTTGAACGGAGCTTCGAAAATCGACCAACTGAATGAATTGACAATGGAGGCCGTCATTTGTCCGATGTCATCTTAAAAATTAAGTGATGCAAAATTTCAGACAATGTTTTTTCAATCAAATCTTTATTGTAATGATATCTTTGCTAGTTAATTTTTATTGAGCTTTCAAATCAGGAAGTTTCCATGAATCATCCTGCACAGTACAAATTATGCAAGGGAAATGTGCAATATCAAGTCGTACATGAAATTAAAATATTACAGTCTGTTTGGAAACTAAGAATCATCCTCTTATCGCAGCACTCTTATGGAAATATTCTGCGTATGTTTTTTATGCGGAGACAAGGAATAAAAAAGATTGCAGTACCAGCAGCAACATTCATATTAATAACAATTGCGATACTGATATTAACATTTTCATGAATGTAGATTAATTGGACGTTGCCCGATAGGGGGCTCCGTTCAAGACATATTTTGCATTTGGCTAAGAATTTTTTATAATACGAGTACAAATAGTTCACGAGGCATTTAGATAAGACTCATCACGACCACTTTTATCACAGCGTTGGCACATCATTATCTAGTTGGGTATTCAGGCCACCAAATACTATATTTATACATTGACGTGTAAATAACTTAGTATGTCCTGAACTTATGTCGCCTTTGTGACGCTGCAGGCGATGGTGCAGCTGCAGTGATGCTGCTGCAGGGCTCCGGCACACCAGCTGCTACAAGTTTCGCGCGTCTCCTGAACCCGTTTCCGGAGCTGAGGAAGTTCACGGTGTGCTACCGCATCCGCATGTACCGCTTCAGGGAGGAGGGAACCCTACTGTCATATGCCTTGCTTGATACTGATAACAACGCTTTCAACATTGGTATGTCTTTAGAGTCTTCGTAAATTTACTCAGGCTGTAAATCCAGAAATGGTTATGTTTTTGCCAATTTTTATCGGTATTCTTGAAGGAAATACTTATTTGAATTACTTCCACTTTTTTCAAAATCAAGAAGCTGAAGCAATCGTCTGAAGACTGTATAAATATATAATACTTTTCATTTTGTATTACAAGTTTCATGGCTGTATAAATATATAATACTTTTCATTTTGTATTACAAGTTTCATGGTTTTAATTATGATGATGAATTTTTAACATAATTGTGAACAAAGATGAACGGTTTGACATGAGCACCAGCTCTCTTTATGACCACCACTTCAGTTGTGTCACGACGACGGATTTACGTTAAATATATGGGGGCAGATCACAGGCTGTATGGCTACCAGGTGTGCCTGAGCAGCATTTGTGCAACGTCCAATGTGATCACTCCACTGTGGTACTGGAGTCACTTTTGCTTCACTTTCGACGGCTCTGACAAGTCCTGGATTATCTACATTAATGGAGTAAAGGAAGCTGGAGATAAACTATATAACTTTCCCGAAGTGATTTCTGAAAATGGAGCTTTCGTCATTGGTAAGGCGGGTTAAAGATGTTACTCATAATGTAAATATTATTCACAGAAGGACACTTTTCCTGCAATAGTTAAAACTTAACGAATATTATAGCTTGTTTACTCTATTCAAGAAGGAAAACTAAAATGTATTACATATATATTAGTCGTTAATCTCTATTTAAATATTACGTTCAAAGTTATTTTCTATGGACATATAACTAAGTGGCAGTGCTCATATAAATTTATTACCTCATTCCAGGCTCAATTTTATTTTAATGTAAAAATCGATAATGAATCGGTGGCTGGCGAATTCAGAAATTTTTTCACATTGATTAGCTCTTTTAATGAAAATATCAAGTGATCTAAATTGACCAGCAATTGTGTTAGCAGAAGAGCATACTTATTTCAATTCTTCTAGTAATAAGTTGATTCCGACCAGGCCAAGAACAAGAATATTTCGGAGGTGGTTTCGAAAGAGACAAGAGCTACAGCGGAGAGATCACACAGCTCAACTTTTGGCACCGAGTTTTAGACGCATCTACTATCAAAAATGTAGTATCTCATGCATGAAACTTTAAGAAGTAACTGAATTAATGTCGATATGAAATTTAAATTAGTCAACATATTTGCCGTGGATAGACGGCTGTTTGAGAACGCTCATCATATGATTGAGTTTAATAATAACATTTAGTGGTCTGATGTATAGATGATATAAAGCACAATTAATGATCGTATTACTACAACAGCAGTTTACGAGTATATAGGGGAACTCACGAATTTTTTTTTCCTTATAACCCGGCAGATCGCCGAATGCAGTAATAAAGATGAAGGTGATGCGTTGGCGTGGTCAACACTGCGCTGGAATATCAGTGGAGAGGTCGAGTGGCTTGTACAAAACTTGACTACTCTCTGCTCAACGTCTAGGCGAGACTTCATCTTCTTCCCAAACCGGTTTCAATTGAACGAGGCTCGGGCTATGTGTAAGGTGATTAAATAAATTAGTGTAAGCATATATTAATCCATTTGGACATAAATTTTTTGATGCTTGTTACAAATTTTCATATAAATTTGAATTTTCGATGCTATAAAATAATTGTGTGATAATAAGGGAAACGTTTACTAATTTTTGACAGTTTGCTTCAATGCTCCTCCGTATTTTAGTAGTATATTTAGAAGCTTGATGCGTAATTATGAAGTTTTATAGGTAACATTTACTATTTAATCATAATGAGCCAACGAAATGCGTGATCCGGCGAGGAAGTATGGATAGATCATTTGGGCGGCCAGTGTAACCTCGAGACACCTGGGACTGCACGAAGAGGTGATCGAACAGTACGAACGTCGGGAAACCGAGAACTCTTGTGTAAAACAATAACTGCACCAGCATGTCGTACGGCTGAGCGCCTAATAAGCCATGCCGGCATGGCTTCAGTGGCTGGACGCTCATGTTAAAAGTTTTCCTGGGTCCGTTTTCCTCGGTCCTGCAGTCCCAGGTCTCATAGAACTAGTTCACTAATTATTCGTCCACTTCTTTATCGAATCAAACTCCGGAATTCGACAATAAAAATCAACGTTGAAATGATATCGGAAACGTTTCGGTTTTTCGACGACATAACGGCCCGTTTCAGTAAACTGGTTGTAGGTCAACACGCGATTCTCTATCACCCACTCTCTCTACTGAAATGGCGTTTCTCCACGAGCAGACTCCTCTACTCTTCTTCCCCCCCCCTCAATTAAGATTGTTTATACCTCAAGTGATGCGCAGCTCAAGTCATCCACATTTCGCTGTTGAATCCTGTACATTAAAATGTGAGCAGCTTATTATGCGATACCCAGTTTCCGATACTCTGCTAGAATTCCGAAGTATATATTCATTCAAAAACTCATTATCGGTTAGTCTCACTGGTACCAATAATTCAAAAAAATTCACTCCCAATCAAATTTATTATTCCAGTCCTGCAGCTATGTCAATCAATCGTGATTTATGGAAAGATCGGGTTCAAAAGGCTGGATCCCTTGTGAATCAAGTCACAAAAAGTGCAGGAATCGGCAATAGGCCATGGGCCTATTTCTTCGGTGCCGACACTTCTATTCTATTCTATTTAGATTAGATTTATATTCCGCTTAGATTCCGTTTCCGATTGATTCCGTTTAGAATCAATCAAATCCTGCACAACGCTAGTAAATAAACTCAAAATGTGTATTTTTATACGCATTATCCGTATTTTTATATGCATAAAATAAAACATGCCCTTTTATTTGTTTAGAAAGTCGGTGGGGAGATTGGCATCCCTATCGACGACGCAGAAAACACTCGGATGTTCACCGAGACGGTCGGCTGGGCTGAACACTGCTCTAGTTACCTCGGATCAGCTTACCTGTGGCTTGGGGCTCAGGACGGTAATGTAGAAGGCCGCTGGGAGTATTTCGAGTCCAATAAAACAATCACGTACCAAGGACGTTGGCGTGGAGGTGGCCCCAGTGGAGGCACTGTCGAAAATTGCTTGGTGATGATGTATGGTCCTGGCATCAACGGACTCTGGTCCGATTTCGCTTGCTTCGATTCACATAAAAAATGCATGTTTTGTGAATTTAAGAACTACACAACAATGTACCTAAAAGGGCCTCTCACTTGCAAAAATTCGCCTTTCAACAATAGATATATCTTACATAGAAGCGTCAATGACCGGCCTTCACTCACTGGCTACCGGCACTCCGACATCATTTGGAACAACGAAACCCAAGCTTGGAAGCTGGCTTCGAAAAAAGTGGGACATAATTGTTGCTTGCATAGAGTCGTTTGTTTATACAATGCGATTTTTCAATATATTTTTGGAATTTGATGCATTTGTTTAATGCATCACATTCCTTGAATTGAAGTAGGAAAATCTTCAATGAAAAAATTTATTTTAAACATTTTACAGACGCTGAGTGCCTCGGCTCTGCACATTCCTGATTCGCCCTCTGATTATCCTTTCGGGACGAAAACGTGGGAGGTGGAATCACAAATTTGTGGATACAATCCAGGTGAAAAGGTTCATTTGACCATATCGGCCTGTTTTCCTGGCGAGTACACGTGTGATGATGGTTCCTGCATAGACTTGCGCAAGAAGTGCGACCTCAGAGTGGATTGTCCCGACAACAGCGACGAGACGAAATGCACTCTTCTGAGCATCCCAATCGGTTACAGCAACTCAATCCCACCGCCACCTCTTGTTCAGAGTGAGCCGCTGCCAGTAAATATATCTGTGTTCATATCTTCATTCCCTGAAATCAAGACTGAAGATCTCTCCTTCGAAACAAACTTCAAGCTGCTGTTAATGTGGCAAGATACGCGCCTCAAATTTTTTGACCTGAAAAACGAACGTTCCCTCAACATGCTGACGCCCGAGGAGGTACAGAAAATTTGGTTCCCCGAAATTTTCTTCTACAACGATAACGGAAATCTATATTCCAATCTGGAGAAAGGATCTCGAGTTGAGTTAATCGCTCGAGGAACAGCTGTCCAAGGAGTATCAGACAACTCGGACGAAGGTATGACCTCAGAGTGGATTGTCCCGACAACAGCGACGAGACGAAATGCACTCTTCTGAGCATCCCAATCGGTTACAGCAACTCAATCCCACCGCCACCTCTTGTTCAGAGTGAGCCGCTGCCAGTAAATATTTCTGTTTTCATATCTTCATTCCCTGCAATCAAGACTGAAGATCTCTCCTTCGAAACAAACTTCAAGCTGCTGTTAATGTGGCAAGATACGCGCCTCAAATTTTTTGACCTGAAAAACGAACGTTCCCTCAACATGCTGACGCCCGAGGAGGTACAGAAAATTTGGTTCCCCGAAATTTTCTTCTACAACGATAACGGAAATCTATATTCCAATCTGGAGAAAGGATCTCGAGTTGAGTTAATCGCTCGAGGAACAGCTGTCCAAGGAGTATCAGACAACTCGGACGAAGGTACGTACTATTTGCATAGAAAATGTAAAAATATTCCATTAGTTAAATTTTAAAAATGTTACATATATCATATATAATAAGAACAGTTATAATCGAATACATTATCTATGAATGGAATATCATGAGGTCTCATACATAAAGGATAGTTTTTTAATCAAGCTTTTAATTTTTAAAAGCATCTTTTCTTGAATTATACAAGAAACTTGATTGCGTACTTATTCAAATGTTTCCTGAAACAGTGGCAACCATCCTCGCCATAATTTGATCGTACTAAAGAATTGATGTCGCTTATTTGCTTAAATCGCAAGTTAACTAAAAATTTAAAAGCAAAGAATAGTCCACAAAAATTCTTATCTTTATAGAAAACGTTTCGGAGTCCTGCTCCATCGTCAGTTCGTAGAATCTAGAATTCATGTAGAAAGTCACAAATTAGTACAATTGAATGCACAGAACACAATTAAAAACCTAAATTTACAAGTAATAGGACACAAAACCTATCTATTCACAATTTCAAGGGGATAGGAGCTAAAAGCTGAATTTAAACTGGGCCTAAGTTTAAAAATGTACAAAGATTCTAAAATACGCATATCTGAAGTACCGGAGGTGGAAACTAACACTCTAAAGTCACTGTCAGAAACAGGGACATCGCACTGCTCGGCGTGAGTGCGCACAGCCGAATGAGGGGGGCGCAATAGCAACAGTCCGGTTCTACAACTCCTGCCCATATGCTCAGCAATCCTGAAATAAAGATTGCGTGACGTCATCCTGACGTACGCAGATGCACATTGTGCACAACGAAATTGATAAACCAGGGACGATCGCATTTGAGCAGGGAGCATATCTTTATGTCTAAAGAAAGAACCTATTTTAAAACTGTTTACCAGAACAATATGAAGTTTGACGTTTGGAAAGTATCTATCGAGCAAGACTTTAAATTCTCTTGACATAGCTTCGGACGCAGGGCCGAAGTATGGAAAAGAACAATAAATAAAGTTCCTACTATCGCGCTCGGGAGCAACCAAACTGAATCGCTTCGACATGAATTTCTTGATTTGGGTATAAACCAAACTTGCCGGAAATTCATTAAGCGAGAAAATATTTCGTAAAAATTTCGTTGTGCACAATGTGCATCTGCGTACGTCGGGATGACGTCACGCAATCTTTATTTCAGGATTGCTGAGCATATGGGCAGGAGTTGTAGAACCGGACTGTTGCTATTGCTCCCCCCTCATTCGGCTGTGCGCACTCACGCCGAGCAGTGTGATGTCCCTGTTTCTGACAGTGACTTTAGAGTGTTAGCTTCCACCTCCGGTACTTCAGATTTGCGTATTTTAGAATCTTTGTATATTTTTAAACGTAGGTCCAGTTTAAATTCAGCTCTTAGCTCCTATCCCCTTGAAATTGTGAATAGATAGGTTTTTTGCCCTATTACTTGCAAATTCAGGCTTTTAATTGTGTTCTGTGCTTTCAATTGTACTAATTTGTGACTTTCAATGTGAATTCTAGATTCTACGAATTGACGATGGAGCTGAACTCCGAAACGTTTTCTATAAAGATATGAATTTTTGTGGACTATTCTTGGCTTTTAACTTTTTTGTTAACTTCAAATGTTTGTTATGAAAGTGTGGTGTAAAATGTCGTCGAACTACGGATATCTAGAAGCTAGGGAATGCTCTCGTGCCTAAACTATGGAAATCACCAAGATCAGTTGGTTATTTCGACAGACACTATTTCAATCTTATTGTATAGAATACATATTATAGCTTCACGTGTCTCTATTCAACAGTGACCATATTCAGTGAAGGTGCTGTGGCGATGAGCCAGCGGTACAACGTCCTGTATTCCTGTGATTTTGATCTTCTCATGTTTCCATTTGACGCCCAGGTGAGTTGAACGGCAACTTATCCTATTGTTATTTCTCGTTGTGCAGAAATGATGATGAATCATTGATATTAAAAATGAGATCAAGATACTATCATTCCTTAGCGATTATGAATTGATTATAAAATATTGTCATAATTTCAAGTTCAAATCATTGTACAGACAGCATGCATTTTTAGCGCATTTTCTCATTTATGGAAAAAAGACGCTATTGTGCTCGTCATGTCCGTCTGTCGGGGGCGCAGCCGTAGGCCACAAATTTTACTCTCAAATAAGCCTTGCAGCCAACGCCAAGCTTCATCATGCATTAACATTACTCACTAGACTAGACTAGAAGCCGCAGACTACGCTTGAACTCCGCAATCTAGACAAGCAGTACACTGCCCAAAGATAATAGCGCCGTAGGTCTTCAGCCAATGTTTAAGCATGCTCGCTCATAAGCAGGTAGTTCCCCATCCGGCTGTACCTACTCCGGCCTAACCTCTTCTGGCCTAACTTATTCACGCTGTCCCGGCTCACATCCTTCTTGCAGCCAATGAGTGGCTCTACCAGCACACTTGGACCGCCTTTCTAACTTCTTGCAGCAAATGAGGTTAGGTTAGGTCCGCTCAGGTTTGTTTTGGGTGGAGAAAGGTTGCAGCTCGTATAGGTTAGGCCTGAAGATGTTAGGCCAGAGAGGAGGTTTGGCCAGATGCAGTATGGCAATGTTTACCTTTAGCAAGCTTATTTTATGGCTGTGGACATCCGGCGCTATGGCTTTGAGCACTTGACTTCATAGGCCGTTATGCACTCTAGCGTTCTTACCTATGGAAAGGAATATGAACGAAGTGTGAAGTTTGGCAAAGCTGGCCTCCGGCATGCGCCCCCGTCTGTCTGTCTGTCCGTCCGTGACTTCACGTTTTCGGCGACGAGAAAATGCGCTCTCTGTCACTCACTGCAGTGAGTACTGACTCTACTACTGAGTTATATTTTTTGACTCTTTTTTGAGCCAATTATATTTTAGTCTCCTCCATTATTTTCTTTCTGTATGATTGGCTTCTAAGAAAAAATTAATTTCAAAATTATTTATACTAGAATAAATTTTTGTACGTTTTTGGCGACTCTTTTACTGAATCCAATTTTAATTTAGGAAAACCTTTAATGCCTTCCTCGTCTTCGAACGGTGTACAGTGTGCTTTGTAATTTGTTTATTCTATTTAGGACTGTCATATGACCTTCGAGCTGACGTCGGCAGCTGCCACCTACTTAATGCTCAGGCCGGATAACATCACATACATCGGCAGGAAGGATCTCGTAGAGTACACTATAAGTAAATTAGTTAGGAAAATTACATATTTTGCCAATGTTTAAACATAAGATTCAAGTAGATTGAAGGTTAGCCAAACAATAAATCCTATGATATTCATGAGACCTGGAAGCTATGAAGATTTTAGCTCGAGCATAGTCGTATTTCGGACACATGAGCAATATTAACAGTTTTATTGGAATATAAAGCTTCTGAAATGGAAATTAATTTTTTTTAATTATCAATGACGTAGGACCAACCTTCAAACCAGTAATGTTTGAAATTAATTTCAAAATTATTTAAAGTGGTATTTAGCTACATGACTAACTGCTGGCTGTGGAAACATTGCCTTGTTTTTTCAGGCGAGTTCATAGACGTTAACAGCAGCATCGAGAGCGGGTACTCTCAGGTGACGCTCGGTGTTCGCTTCGAGCGACGCTTCGGCTTCTACATACTCACTCTGTACATCCCCACGGTGCTGCTGGCAGCTATTGCGTATTTCTCGCTGCTCTTCAGCCCAGACGAGTTTGAATCGAGGATGAACGTCGCGATTACAGCAATGCTTGTGCTAGCAGCTCTCTTCACTCAGGTAATCTGCGCATAATGAGAGATCTGATTGTCACCCAAAAAATTCCATTTAACATATAAATCTGATGGATAAATAATAGAGATCGAATATTTTATACTCGATTTAACAAACTCGAAAATATCATTACAACTGTTTAGGTTAATTTAGAATGAAAACCACGTTAATTATTAACCCAGCGCACTTACATACTTCCAAATTACTAATTTGACCCTCCTATAAAATAAACAGTATATGCAACGAATAATATATGTTAACGTAACTGCTGCAGACATCAAACTCCCTGCCGAAGACTTCGTATTTGAAGCTGATCGACATCTGGCTTTTCTTCTCCATCGTCATCATCTTCTTGGTCGTATTCTTCCAGACGCTCGTTGAGTACTTCTCCTACCCGTCCCTCCTCATCCCTTCTGGCGGTGACAACAAGATTCATGTCCTTGAGGTATGAAACACTGAGTACAAAAAAACGGTATAGGTTTCTATATGAAAACATGATAGAGATAATTTGAATTATATTCGTTGAATTTTATGTCCAATTTAAAATCCTTTACTTTAATTCAGTACTACCCATTTAGGCCATGAAAACTGCTCCACGAATTCCAAAATCTACCGTGTGGTCCAGGCTTCGCACACCTTCATGCTTCGGGAAGTTCAAAGAATTACCGAGGCACATTAAAATTTATCTGGCTGGCCGCGTCATCATTGCTCTGTGTTATTTGATCTTCAACATCGTCTACTGGGGTATTGCTTTCAAGTGAGTTATAAAAGTGTTCATCTCTCTCCAGCTCCTGATTTGCATAATTAACCTCAGTTGAATGGTATATAGCCGATGGCAACTTATTTTCTGAAATAATTTCGTTTTAAATTTTATTTGTGTACCACTAGATTTTTCTCTCTGTTGCGCTCCTAAATTTTTAAATATTTATCATAGCTACAAGATCAATAGCCATCAAGAACATTCAACAGGCAGATTCTATGCGCGTGTTTTTTCAACTTGAGAATGCATTTCTACAGGCACGTATCGGAGCTGAGGCGTCGAGACGATCGATTCCTCAGGCAGGAAACAGACAAGTAAACAGGTGAAATTTTTCAAGATCGAATTCCAATGCATACTGATTGATTTTTGATTATTTTAATTTATTGGAAGTATTTGTATATGAATATAAGACTTTTTCTCTTTCAGCCCTTGTGAAGTGCAAAATTTTGAGCAAAACATTGTGGTTGGTACGTTACAATGTCAAATTCCCTCAACATCAAAGGATGAACTATATCGTTGGCATTTCATATCGTTAGATCATTTTCATCCGGTGGATGGATCATACCACTAGTCTTTGTAATAATTGAACCTGCATATTGACATGGGCACACACGTGTCATAATCGACTAATGAAGTCATTATGAAGGCACAAAATATGGCAATTGCCAAATTTTCACTATGTGTTCTGGCACAGCTTCTTAGAGTACAATTGTACTTATTTACTTCGTCTCTTATCAATTTTACGTGTCTGTAGTCCTGGAGAATGGATTTATTTTTCGCCATCCGCTATGTACAATTACAGCCAAATGTCATTGGGGATTTGAAAGACTTCCCCAGCAGAAAAGAAGCCTATGTAGATGAGCAAGATAAGTTTCATATAAAAGTAAAAAATTTTTGTTAATTCTAGTCGTGCACTGGAGAATTTTTTGTCAACCTGAATACATCAAAGCTTTTGTTTCTCTAGTGTGTATTCATGCTCTCCAACTACCGTGCGGTAAAAATATGAATCAGTGAAGCTTCATTGACAAAAATATTTCAGGTTTGGTTAACTTGAGAGTGTACCAAGTTGAACCGAATACCTTCTTTAGCTTTGTTTACTTCTTCTGTTGTTGAGCCAGGCTTCGAAGTCATGCTGAATCTATGATAAATCCGAAAAACATTGGAAAACAAGTGTGAGGCATCTTTTCCTTGCTCATAATGGGAGTTATACTGGATATTTTTCTCAAATTCACGAAAATCATACAAACAATGCGGAGTTCATAAATGAACAAATAGACATTACTTCTTCGCCAATCATAACGATTGCAATTAAACTTCAAAACGTCACAGATGAATATCAGTTGGAGCTGCTTGTCAGCGTCAATGGCAGTTACTTTTTTATTGGCCGAGCCAAACTTTGTTAATCTAGAATTAATGTCTAGGTATGTTGTTCGATTCTTGATATGTTACTCGCGTGAAATATATTTCTCCCAAGTGGAGAACTTCTCTCATAGCAGCGAGCAAGCTCCATTTCCGTTTGATGAAGAGATTTAAAAGTTTAACAAAGAGGAATTCAAGTATCATCAGTATTGAATACAGGTAAAATAAAAAAAAAACGTTCTTATCATATGCCGTTCAATTGATGTCAAAATCCATGATTGATGTCAGCTATCGCAACTTTGAATAACTAGCTCGCTATCAATCGACCAGAAAAGATGTCTCAATTGTTGTTTTAATATTAACTCTCGACTGTTAATTCACCGCACGCAAAAAATGAGTTATTTAGAATACCTTCCAGATTTTTTCTCCTGGATCACGAACATTCTTCACTTTTTGGTGAATGTAGCACTGGATTCACCAACCAACTTCATGGATAATGTAGCAATAAAGGCTTTTCTATATGCATCGCGTAGAACTCTGGAACACGTGCTGACGGCGATGTTATTTTAGCTTGGCAACGATGCAGCATTTGGGCGATGGCTATGGCAAAGAAATTCAATGATATGGAGTAAATGCAAATCCCTCAACTGAATTTGCTGCTTTTAATCTCAATGTAATATAAGAATACTGTTGATATATCTTCTTGCTCTTATAAATCTAGACATTTAATATAACATATTAATTACGTGTTTGCGGAATGGTTATCGTATCGAATGCTTACTATACTTTCACTTTATAAATATATTATTAAGTAAACAACGATATATTGCAAACTTATTTCCTATTTAACATTTTACATTACATTCATATTATAAGCTAGAATGTTCAGGTTTGCTTCAAGCAAAAATCAGTTACCCTCAACCTTACGTAAAGTTTAAACAGTTTAAGGACGCTGTAGTAGTTTCTTCAGCATTTAACGTAAGTATTTCTATGTTTCAAGTGCACCAATGTAATAACGCTTGTCATGTACTCGAAATAAACTTTTAAATGTTATAAATAAGCAATAATTTAACCTTATATATAATTTCACAAATGCTTTTTATTGATGGTTCGAAATATACATATTAAAACGGGAACCACAAATGTTTGACGAACTTACGAGCTTGGGACTAACTTCCTTTTTGGGACTAAAAAATTAATCTAGCAAGTGTAAAAAAGAAAAAATAACCAACGCTCGTGCATAAAAATTGCAATAAACCTGGGTATATACATTGAAATTTTACGTTATACTTAGTTTTCCTGATGGCTGACTTTAACATTATATCTGGAATTGAAGTAAATGATGATATAGTGTCTCGATTGTTAATATTATTATCAGCACTCTCAACTAATTAAAGCTGATACAACTTATAGAACGATTCCATTTTTAGACAGCAACATAAATATTTTATTCCTAAGTGATTGTTCAACTGTAAAAGTTTATTACTGGCTGTAAAAACGCCATTTATAAAATAATACAGTAGTTGAAAATCTCAATAGTATAAAATCTGAGGCAAATTGCATTGATGCGTCAATATGGCGTGTGTCTCTTTACTCCATTCGATTTTATATGCCAACAAATTATACGTTTTCTAAACAATTGGATATAAGTAACTTGCCAATTACGATGGTAAAATAATTGATTTGTCATATTTTTTCAGTGTTATACAAAGAGGATCTGTCTGAAACGTAACTAAAATTTAAACTTTTCAGGATAAATTAGTTAGAACTTTCTCCAATGAAAATTATTCTGAAGTCAATTGCCTATTTTTGGTTATTTTTAAAGGAGCTGAGAACAATGCAGAGTTTCATTCCTTACTACTCGTAATTCTCGACCATAGACTTTATAGTGCGCATCATAGTAATTGTTGATCCGATTTGTCCTTAATTAAATGCCAAACAAATATTCTTTTCTGCATTATTTAAGAATGTTTCATTTTTATTCATCTGTATTTATTCAATATACTATTCATTTATAATAATAATACTACTAATAATAGCGGTTTCAGCGTTTAGTAGGCCGTATAGCCGATTCTTAACATAGCAGAATATTCATAGCTTGTTGCGGTCTCGAACGCGCAACTCACTGCTACAATTCTGCTGTGCTTAACCGCCCGGCCTCCTCGCCGATTCTGACCAGAAACTGGCGTAGAGAGCTAGGATCGAACCCGCGCCTCTCTGCGCCATTATGGTACTCTGAACTTTAACCCCTATGCCACCCTGATAATGTTGATAGCTGAACATCAAACCAAAGTCTTTCTCTATGCATTAATACAACCATAGAGAAATTATGATGGTGATTCCACACAACTCGTTTACATAATGCCTCTTGTTCCAGGAAAGAAGACATTTAAAGTAAATTGAGAAATCGATCAAAGATTCTCCATCTTCACCCATGAAGATTGAGCGATTTATGGCGTGAAAGAATTGCCCGGTTCAACTCAACAATAATATCAAATCAAGATAAGAGGAGCGTGCATACATTCATCAAAGCATGGTCGGGTGCAAGATAGCTATGTTTCCTAAAGCTCTTATTTCTCTTCCTTCTGATCTGAAAGATCCTTTTTGAGTGGCTCATTCCCGGACTCCTCGGCCGCCAGTTTAGCGGCATCGACGGCTTCTTGTATTTCAGAGACAATTTCCTCCATCTCGGTGCGGGTGCCCAGGCTTTGAGGACGACGCCATCGTGGCTTACCAAATACTTGTAGAAATTCCACTCAGGCTCCACTGATGATTGTTCAACTAGGTTGCGGAAGGCAGGGCTGGTATTCTTCCCAAAGACATTAATTTTATCGAGTATGGGAAACTCGACTCCATATTCCTTGCTCATATAGCCTCTGCCACATCAGCAGCTTTGTCAGGTTCCTGGTCACCAAACTGGTTGCAGGGGAATGCCAGCACCGTGAAGTAACCATCATTACTAAGGTCATGTAGCTTTGTGAGGGCTCTGTAAGTGGAGTCTGTAAAACCGCACTTGCTAGCCACATTGATCACCAAGGATACCTTTCCTGGAAGCTGTTCAAGCGGGTAATCTCTTCCCTGTTTGTCAGTAACCGTGAAGTTATAGAAGTCCGAAGCTTTCACTGACGAAAAAATAACGTCAATGAAAGATTTAAGAAAAGATTCTTCATAATTTTCAATTGATTTATTTCTAGTATTTACTGTGGCACAATACCCTCTCATCGCCCTCGAGTATCTTACAGGTCGTTATTGCGGCTGCATACCCGCAAATTTGGCTTCAATGTATAATTTAAAGTTATTAGTATCAGTCTTTTGTGAGTAAAAGTTTGTACGATTAATGCGTATGAGTCATGACCTGTAGAGTGCATTAACAAATAATACGGTTGGTTAATGACCAGAGAATTCGCCAAATTAAATTTTCAGGGTCGAACAATATTCTTCAGATGCATTAGTTGATCAAAATGCAGGTTCAAGGGAGTAATATCAATTTATTAACGACGTTTCGAATGTAACAACATTCATTTTCAAGTTACAGGAAGCATTGAATACAGAAATTTTGATGGAAATAATATCATGTACTTATTTCCATCAAAATTTCTGTATTCAATGCTTCCTGTAACTTGAAAATGAATGTTGTTACATTCGAAACGTCGTTAATAAATTGATATTACTCCCTTGAACCTGCATTTTGATCAACTAATGTCATCTGAAGAATATTGTTCGACCCTGAAAATTTAATTTGGCGAATTCTCTGGTCATTAACCAACCGTGTTGAAACAAGCTTATTCTGCCTTCTGATACTAACTAATAAATAATATCATACAAATCAAACTCCAACCAATAATTGTTGCAGTATAATCACAGCTAGAGGCCTGAGGGATATTTTCATGTTTTCATAATACAAAGTTTCACCGTAGGTCGAGCAAAGTATGTATATATTATCATCAAACTACATGTTTGCTCCAGTCAATTCCTTTCTTATATGTTGAAATATAGGCTGCAGCTCAAAGTTTAGGCTTATTTTAAAATATGATTGGCTGACTGACGTTGACCAGAAAAACTTAGGCTAATTTCAACATAAGTTATCGAATATTTTTTGCACACCCTAATCACTGACTTGAGATGGATGGTGAGGGTGTGATATATCAAATTTATAGAATCAGCGCTGAGCAACAAAATGGAGAGCACTTCATCTATAGAAAAAACTGTGATTACATATCAAGGCAATGAGCAGACACATTTATATTCAAATATCAGTTAAAAATTCAAGGGAATCGACAATCGATTCTCTGCCTGAAATATACCGTGCTGAGGCTAAGTAAAACCCAATAATATCAAACGTAAAACCCAATTATATTAATAAAAATATTGCTTTATCCAACACCACTGTAGACTTCAGTTTATCTTCATGATTATAAGAATACATCTAAACATCTTGGAAACAATAATCGATGCATTTTGAAATTGCCAGGTAGATACTCGTACTTTTCTGCATCACACGTTAAACTGCGAAGAATAATGAGACCTCAACTTTAATATCATCATTAATAAAGTTGTTCATAGTGTCCATCATTCGAGAGGATGTATTAGACATTAGCAAATCAGAGCACGATGAATAACGCAGAACCAAAAATTTGGCATGATCGAGCGGCGGCTGTAAAGTTCGGGGCCTTCAGAGTAATATATAATGCAGGCATTGGAGAACATAAGTTTCATGCTTTCTAATGCAGAGACATTTAGAAGTGAACACCTCATGTTATAAATCGCGTTATGATCATTGCTTATTATGGAGATTTCTGACGTGGCCGAGTCATATAGAGCACGTCCAAGCGTCACACACTATGTCCTCCTCGGAAGCCTGCGGGAAGTTAAAGCACAAACCTGTCATTGGCCAGTCTCTGGACAAGAAATTAATTCAATGTATGTACGTTAGCTTTTTATTTGTTGATTTTCGCGATTTCATTGCTCTCAAGAATGAAAAAATCATATAGGTGCCATTTTTTCAAATATCATATTTAGAATGTAGGAAAAAATCACGATCATCCGATTCCTTCGAATATTGAAGTTATAAGTTACGTATTTCACATTAACAATTTAACATGGAACCGTGTTCTATAAATCAGATGGCTCTCCGAAGAAGATCAAAGGCTAGCGTATACGTACACAAGCCCAGAACTCTGGATGCATTAAAGGACGCAATGCGCGTGGAAGTCGGGCAAGTTGAGAGAGCGGTGTTGGAGAGAGTCTACGCGAACTTTCATGAACGCCTACAGCACTGCATCAACAATTTCGGCCACCACATGCCAGATGTTATTTTCCACACTTAACTGTCTAAATTGCCATTTCTTTGTGAACCTGATTGCATCAATAAAGTTGTTTTTCAGTAAAAATATAATGTTTTATAACGTTTTTAAACCGACTGTCCTCTTTGCCGGACCCTGTACATATTAAAATGGAAACCACAAATGTTTGACTAGCTTCCTTTTTGGGACTAAAATATTAAGCTAGCAAGTGTAAAAAAGAAAAAATAACCATAGCACGTGCATTAAGATCGCAATAAACCTGGGTATATAGATTGGAATTTTACGGTACACGTAGTTTCCCTGATGGCTGGGTTTAACATTATAGCTAGAATAGAAGTAAATGATGGTGTAGTGTCTCGATCGTTAATATTATTATCAGCACACTCAATTAATTAAAACTGATACAACTTATTGAATTATTCAATTTTAAGACATCAGTATAAATATTTTACTCCTAAGTGATTTTTCAACTGTAAAGTTTATTCATTGATGTAAAAACGCTATTAACAAAATAATGCTGTAGTTGAAAATCTCAAACTTGCTTCATTACTTGGATACTACTTGCTTCATTACATGGATACTTAGCATAGACGTTATTACGTTAGATACTTGGTATAGACAAATATACTTTCAATAAGAAATTAATTGAATCCTAACGGTCCAGAAACATACGGTATAACATAAGTTGGCCTCGATCATGGCTTTAAGTTGGCTCTCCCACAGACACAGAAAAAGATGTGCGAGGCATTGACTCGACGCAAATCTTCAGTACGGCGCAACGTATGAATAATTAAATCGGAGAGTTTGTTTATTGAAGAGAATGTATCATTATTATCTTTTGAGTGTTTCATCTAATAGGATAAAAACTAATGATTTTATTAGTAATTTATCCTGATGACATTAAACGAATCTGAACCCGTAATTGTTAGGTCCTGATTACTCCTCCGTTGCGTTTGAGAAATCAAAATTAGAATCTAAAAGAAAACATGTGCATTTCCCAATCAAGCTGACAGAAACCGACCAATTAAACTTAATTATGGTGAATGCTCTACTAAGTATCAATATATTTACGTATCAACGTTACTTATATTTCTTTGCGAAGCCGAGTGGACGAGGAACTTGTATATAGTGCGTCAAAAGTGCCAACGAAAGTTCTAATTTAAACTCACTGTGATCATAACGATCCAATCCCTGAATAAAATCATTCATTCGGATTTTATCCGAGTCAATATTAGCTAGGAAAAATTTTCCAGTCTATTGTTTATAATTATGAATAATCAAGTTTTACTAATAATAAACATAAAATTTATCTTTTTTAATTTAATGTATCATTGAAATAAAATTAAATTAATTATCATAAGTACGTATGGAACAAGCTTGAATTTTTGTGAATCAAATTTGTACCATAATTTGCAATTTTTTAGTTGTACCACGTATCCACAACCCTATTAGATTTCCTCAGAACGATTTTCCCAAACTATTTTTGTGACTGAAAGGCTCCAGACTTTAGGCCTATGCGTTTGGTAATTTTTCTAGTCAAGACGAGACAGTAGACTTAGCCTAGATAAGTGGTAAAAAAATTGCGACAATTTTCAGCACTCTGTGGTTATTCCGTTACAATACCGCGACGAAGCTTTACGGTAATATTTATTAATTTAATTAAGTCATTGATGGCGACAGTCGCGAATGTGTAGAACCCTACTTCGTGCCCACACTATTGAGTTCTATAGCAACTTGAGAAACATGAAACCGGCCAAAACATAGACTATGGTGTGGCGTTTGATGAACTTGCGAACACTTGGAAAATGCATTGTAATAGTCAGGCTCCCATCAGAATAGCAAATGGTACGTCCTAAGTTATGTCGGTAAACCAAAGCCAAAGTTTACACCACAGCGAAGCACTAAAGGTCTCTTGCACCATCAGTAGCTGTAGCCTACCACAGAAGGCAGTAATAGGTCTTGACCAAGTATTTAACGGACCAGTTTATGCCCTCTGAACTAATAAGTTTAACCGCTCGTTCATTCAATAATACAATGAAAAAATTTAAAATTGAGCATAATTGTTACTCTGGCAAATGTGAGCTACTTGCAAAGTTATTGGATAATTTATAATTATACAAGATGTAGTGTAGGCGCTCACTACAGGCAGCTACTGACCGCTACTCGCTATTAACCCCTGTAACACCTGTGGTCACTAGCTCGATAATTAGTGGCGGTTAGTTCTGGCCAATCAGAGTGGCGGCCACAACAGCCCTGAATATAATACGCACCTTATGAGTCAGCCGTTTAAGAAAGTTTAAATAGGCTTTCTCTGGCCCTTCAAATTTGCTTTCATATGCAGGGTGGCCCAGTGGTTACAGTTTAGAGTACCAGGATTGGCGCAGAGAGGCGCGGGTTCGATCCCAGCTCTGTGCGCCAGTTTCTGGTCAGAATCGGCAAGGAGGCCGGGCGGTTAAGCACAGCAGAATTGGAGCAGTGAGTTGTGTGTTCGAGAACGCAATAAGCTGTGAATGTTCTGTGATGCTAAGAATCGGCAACAGGCCTAATAAATGCGGAAACCGCTATTATTGTTAAGATAGACATTAGCGGAATCAATTCAACTTGTAAAATGCCTTGAACTCCCGAAACCGATAAAAAGTCATTCCGAAGATGTCACACTGTCAGCAGTAGTTCTTATTTATATTTCATATCAAGGATTACCGATTACGTAGTGCGTCTCGTTAAATAAATATCTACACACCGGAAAATGTCAACGCTTCTATTTTATCCGAGGCGACTCGTCCGAGACGAGACGACTCGTCTCGGACGAGTCGTCTCGTCTCGGACTAGTGCCGGAGTTCGCACTGAAAACTGGCTCGATATCAATCGCTGATCTGCCTGAGGTATGCCTGAAGTCTCTCCTAGACATTATATCAAAACTAGATCTAAATATGTAGTATATTTAGCCTTTCGGCTTCGATAAACTAGTTCAGTTAATATTGAAATAGCAATAATTATCAATCTATGACAAGAATTTGCAGTGGTACAAAAAAAGTTGTTATATTTTAATACAAATTTGGTTCACTACAATTCTATGTTCATTTCTTCCCAATTTGAGAGAATTGTTCTATTCTTTGAATATTATTAAATTTCCAACGATAAAATTTATAATTAAAAATAGTAAATCTGAATAATAGTTTATTCTTATTCTGTCGATCATAAACAGAAGTTATTGGTAGCTAAAGTAATTTTGAACTATAATATGAATTCGGTTAAATCCTATAGAACTATGTAATCGAGTAATTAAATCTTTACGATTACAATGAATTTTGACTTGTACTTTCAATGACATTTTTGACGCACAAAATAATTTCATCGTTTACTTGGTAAAATTATAAATAATATTTGTACGTAAATGTATTGATATGAGAGCATTTCTCCCGATTTAGATGTAATTAATTAATTTCTATCCGCTTGATTGGAAAATCCACACAGATTCTGCTAAATTTTAATTATTTTTTATTTTTCAAACGTGGCAGAAGAATAATCTGGAACTACCACGGGTACATATTTGTTCTTCGTCAACTGAATAAGTTAGTCTTCGCAATGATTTGCTTACTTCAGACAAAAAACATTTTAAGAGTAATAAGGATACATCCTCTCCACTATACAGGCAATTCATCAACTCATTCCAATTCATCAACATTCCTCTCAATTCATCAACTCATACGTTAAAAAGCTTCAGGATTTAACTTTCGAGTATGCCAATCATATAATAAAGGTGAGATGTGTAGAAATTTCATTATGCAAATTTTCGTGATGCGGGCATGTTTTTGATGGTGATGAAGAAATCTAAAGCGAGGAAATCACTTACAGCAAGAAAATTTCCTGTAAACTGAATTATCATGATTCAAAATGTGTTGATATCACAGTTAACATGCACACCTGAAAAGTATCCTCACGAGACGAGTGTATTGCTCATAGGATATATTATAGCAAATTTATTGAGTTACCGAAATAAATAGTCTCTACGTACATAGCCCATACAAGTCAAGTTAGTGACCATCTTATCGAACCAATATTAACTCACCGTGATGAACGTGTCTTCTTCAACTAAAATTACTAAATTATGTCATTTGCATGGTACTTAATATAATAAACAGAATAATTTTGAACCAATTTCACCACCGATGACTGCGGGTACACAACAGCACCTCACAACTACACGCGACGTAGCGGGTAGCGGCCTCAGCTGCCGGGCGGGAGAGGTTAAATCGTCACCTGCCGTTGCGAACTGACAGTCACCGCAATACTTGAGATTAATTTGTAGAGAGCCTGCATTTAAAAAATTAATGAGTATCTGCCAACAGCAGGGCAAAAAGACTCAAATACGGGAAAAAGTGCAAGACGACTCAATGTTTTGTAGTGGCATAACATAACAGTGATGTCGGCCCTGAAGAGTAGGCCCGATATGGCCTGTCGCCGATTCTTGAACTTTTCGTGACTTGTTCACAGTAGATCTAAAATCGTGTCATTTGACCGGATATTTTGTAGAGTGACGATAGTTTGAAATAGCTACTAGACTTCCACCGGGTTCGATATGGTGCTAGGCATTTCAAGTCTGAACATATATTTTTCAATTGCTTTTTCTATTCTGTTCTTGAACGCGTTCATACTTGGAGCGCCAACATGTCAGTGATTCGAAGAGATTCCACATGTCAGTGATTTCCACATGTCAGTGATTCGAAGAGAGAAGAAATTTTGTCGCGTGGATAAATTGCAGCGCAGTTTTTTTAGATTATTGCCGTGGCCCCTGGTGTTGGTTCTTGATAAGATTCAATCATCTGGTCATCATTGTGATTTTCAAGCGAGCTTATCACAAGTGGGAAGCTTGAGATATAGCGTAGTTTGTAATAATAATACGTTTGTTACAAAATAATTTCCACAAACAGGAAGTATTTGTAGCGTGAAGATAGCAATATTTCTATGCAATTTTAATTTATTCTAAAAAATCTAAGCAAATTTTTTCTGTATGAGGTGTAACAAAATCATAAGTGATGCTTTACGCATTCGGATTCGATTGACGACAGATAAATCTACATACTAGCTAGTTCTCAATTTTTCCTTTGAAGAAGGAGGAAAGATGAAAATAAAAACAAGTGAAAATTAAGTAGCATGTTTGATAATATCATTACTTTCAACTATTTACTATTTAAGTTACAACTTACAAATGCAGGAGGTTAAACTTGAATCTGGCCGAAGAACTTGTGTCGAGTCATTAAGGTAGAACTTTGCGTGACTCAGGTTCATGGGATGTAATAATTACTCATAGCATAACACCGCAAAGTCGAAATAAAGCTAATTAAGTTCCTAAGTACTGTAAGTAGTTCCGATTCCACTTGGTTTGCAAAGTAATAATAAAGTAGAGGGTTTACCCTAGAACATTTTTTCTATTGGTCAGAGAATAAGGTTTGATGGTAAACTGAATTAAAATTATGGCTTTCTGTTTCCCAAATAAAAATCAATCGTGAGAGTCAATTATTAACCACCAGACAAGAATTAAACCGCCTTGCCAACTCGAATTTACACTTGGTTTTTAGCCCTGCTGCTTTGTTCCGTTTAGTTGTTGAAAGCTGCTCCATAATTATTACGTTCGGTTGCGGTTGCTACCGTCATTTTGGTGAGAAATGGAGGGGCAGGTTAAATGAGTTGCTAACTTGCTGAGGATTGAAGCTCGCATAGTTATTTACATTTGATTATAAATGTTACTATAACCACTGGCATGCTCGCTAACCAATTATTAGAAATACAGTAATTGTGAAGTTGGTCGCTGATAGCTGATAAAATTCTTGATTTTATTGGTCAATGTTGACCACCTCAACTAAGTCGATATTCTTCATTCGTTAGTTTCTAAAAGTTACGTATTCATACTCTAAATAATTACACGAAAAGTCTTATCATTATTTGCTAGAAGACTAACGTGACGTCAGGGTTCTCAAAAATGTGCTAATTGAGTTTGAAGTTGGGTTAAATGTTGAGTTGGAAGTTGGGAAGAATGGTTTGCTGGCGCTCCAGTTATCAAGCTATTTCGTACCGGAGGTCACAAAATAAAATCGCCAACAAGGCGGAAGGCCTCACTTATCCAAATTCTCAAATTAATAATCATCACTCACAATGGGCCGCAAGGTCTCAATATTGAAGCTGGCTCGAAAGAAGCAGCATTGGCATCTCAAAAAGACGAAGTGACAAGGAGGGACAATTGGAAAGTAACTGAAACTAAGACAAGGGAAATGTAAGGAATCCTACCTACATAATAACTTAACCCCACAACTGAGACCTGCAGTCAGACACCATGAGCTCAGCGGTGGGGCGCTCAGGAACAATCCCCCTAGGAGCGCGAAATCCCATAAGACTTCTGACGAGCACAGACACCGTCAGAAGTCCCCCCTGAGGGGAGCACAATACTTGTTGAAATGGTATTGTGACCAGTTGAACTGGTCACAATACGCGTATTGAGAAACATTCTTTTTGTAATAACTTCCTATGATTTATGAGCTAAGCCAACTTCAATGGAAGTTTTGTATGCTTAAATTTAGTGAAAAAACTCTGACAATATAAATAATATAATAAAGAGGTGCCGCCATTCAAGACACTTCGTTTTGGGAGGCAGACTTCTTTTTTAATATTTTTGTTAAATAATTTTAACACCTAGCTGGGCCTCGAACCCGCAACTTAATTTGTCACGCGTCACCTCACCGATTTTTACCAGAATTTTTACAGTTTCAAATCCTAAACACGCTGTTCCACTCGGGCAACTCGTCAAAAAGGTCCGTCTATACAAGATAAATTTCGAGTGCACATAGGAAAATATTTCTAGACCGCCTCGATACCTAAGACCCGTCACAAATTTCTGGTTTCACCATCAAAATTAAATAATTAACTGGCGAAATTCTTCTTTTTCTTCGCTTCCATGAATCAATCTCGGTGATCGGACGCCATCTGCCAACCATTACTCCACGGAATGATTCGGCACTTTCGTGCCAGCCTCCAGTGGGATGAATATCATAACAACTGCCGAACCACCAGCCGCCTCCGTACATCTTGGCGCAATTTTTTTCTGTAAATAAAAAATGGTATTATCGATAATTACATAAAGACTTAGGTTTATTGGATCGAAATCACTTAAAATGAATATATATATATATATCTGGAGGAAATGTCCATGAATCTTACTTTTGTACCAGTGACAAGACGCTTCTGTGCAACTTGAGTTGAATAATAATTGACTATCATGAATTGTTGAACACTTGACGTAGAGACTCTCAGAATAAAGCAAGAGTCTGCTACTAAACCTACTATAGTGCCAACGTCATTTGACCAACCTGACGAATCGTGGTCGTTGTCGTACGTTGAGAACTGTTGGCGATGATGAGCAGCGAGCACGTCTGGCAGTGAGCTCACAGGCGAATATTTTCGGACTTTGAGACGATACCTTAGCGTGCATAGAATGTACTTCATAAATTTCTTCAAGATAGATAGCGAGAACTGCTGGTAGAGTATGAATAATGCAGTTGATTGAACTGAAGAATTGGGCCGGGTATTTAGTATGAAGCATGGTGGTACAAAATGATAAATTATCAAAATAAAACTGTAGATTTTTCAAATCGGGGACGCCTGAATTTAGACTGTGTGGAACATGTTCAATTGACATGATGTCAAAATAATTTTTGGGGGGAGATGACGCGACCATTTTTCCTGTTTTTCTTTGCGAAAAAAAAACATTCCCGTATATATCTTACTTATCGTTGGGCCCTTTAATCTGCATTGTGCCCCAGTGCGCCCAGCTGATCTCAGGCTTCTTGCCCTCCCAGGCGACGAGCAGCGTCAGCGAGTAGCGCTCCAGTGACGTCATCGCGTACAAAGCTCCCAAGCCTGAAAATATTATTCCATTGAGTTATTAATTTCATTATGAACGCATACTGGATTCCTGTTTATTGATCTTAATTTTAAATAAGGCGCATTATGAGGAACACTATTATAAGTGTGGTTTGAACAGTTTTACTTGAACAAGTCTCATTGTTCCCCACGTGGAAGAAAGTCAAACGTTGTCTGCAATATTAGAAGGCTTTTTGTATGGCAAAAAAAATATCCTTACAATAAAGTACTCATGATGAGTCACGCCAGAATAATCACAAATAAGAAAGAGATTTAAATGGGAATTATTTGTTCCAAATGTCAACAACAAAATTTCCTTACCAATAAAGTATTCATGATGAGGGCTTCCGAACCCAGTCACGTAATCCTCCCACGACCGCGTGAAGTTTGTTCTTCCGTGGGTCTCGCACGCAGCATCTCCTGAACTTTCTTTAGTGTTATTGCAATTGTTTTCTAATTGATCAGGATTGTTATCTTTACTCGCATTGTTATTAGCAATGCCCGAGTAACTATAGAATTTATTCGTTGTGCTGTTATCCTCATTTTTTACCTTGGTATCGTAATCACCTTTCACATCTGTACCGTTATTCACGTTTCCGCTCTCACGTTCATAAGAACTATTAATTTTCCAGCTATCATTTCTACTTCTAAGGGAAAGTACGTGTCTATTTTGGCCAGTTGTCTGATAGGGTGGAAAATTCTTGGCAAAGCGGACGTCTTTTGTCCTCTTATCGGATTCGAGATTTTCCGCGGGGAAGGATCCTTTATCCCGCTTTAAGATCACCGTCCAGCCGCCTTGCAGGGACTCTGCTCCCTCCAAATTTTGTTCGCTCCCCAAAAAACACCAAACTTGCACCCGGCCGTCTTCTGCCGCTTGTCCCGATGACATTCCAAGTCTGAAATACAATTTAAAAAATATAACTCGGTACTCACTGCAGTGAGTGACAGAGAGCGCATTTTCTCGTCGACGAAAACTTGAGGTCACGGACACACGGACGGACAGACGGACAGACAGACAGACGGACGGACGGACATGGCGAGCAAAAGACTCATTTAAAAAATAATTTGAAGAATTGCATTTATACTAATTTAAAAATTGATGCGAAATTTTCCATATTAATAGCTTCCTAGCGAAATTCTAGAAAATTAGATAGATGTTGAATTCGAAAATTCTAATTGATTGTCATTTTTCAATTTGCATGAGCCATCGTGTAATTCATTCCTTCAGTAATCCACTAGTCCACTTAAAATTTTGAAAAAAAATTTGTTTCATTAAAAAAAATACCTCCTGCGGTGAATATTTTCTACGGTTTCATTTTAACATACCGCTTAAGTTTTGCTGAACAGCAATCGAATGAACTCAGCTAGTTTAAGGTTAATTTTTTGTCTTAAAACTAATTGTAAACAATTGCTTTTTTATTATGTAATTTTTGAAATAGAAGGTCAAGTTTTCGTGTTACTAAAACTTTTCATAACGCAACGGCAGTTGATTTGGAGTGGTTACCGCTGACGAGCAACACTAATAACAGATTATCCAGGAACTTACTTTACAATCATTACGATTACGTTACGAGATAACGGTCATCATGGAGATATTGATCCTTATTTAAGAAACTCATACTTATAATGACCTTAAGTAGTCAACCTATAACCTTTGAGGAATTTATGGCCATCGTGGAACATATGACGAGTAAGGAATTACCGAACATCATTAAATTTACGACTTTTAAAAAACTTGCGAATGTCTTTGAAATTACGCCCATTGAGTAACTTTATTCCATTGAGGAACTACGAACAACATAGTCAAATTCACGACCATTAAGGAACTGCCGATCATAATGAAATTTGCAACCATCGTCGAGCGTACTCGTACTAGAACTGTTCTACTTAAATCTTAAGATCACCCTAAATCTAAACCTGTATCTATTAAGCTGTGCATGCATTATAATTACTCACCCTGCCGGGAAGATGGTATAGACGCCTGACGTACGGTAGCCCGCCATGTAAACGTCGTGGCAGTCCACGGGCCTGTACGTCGAAAACGTTCCTATGATTATCAATAAAGAACTTAAATAAATCTTTACGTAATAATTGCTCAGAAACTTAAATAAATGCCACAGTGTAGGTCAAATTAAAATACTTCAAATTTTGTGTCCATTCGCGAGCAGAGATAACAAAATATACAGAAATAGGTTACAAAATATCAAATAATTTGATTTTTTTATAATGGTATTGAATGAGTTTATATTGTAATTTCTTGCAATCCCATATTATAACGATACCATTTTGTAATGCCAAAAAAGTTCTATTGCTAATTTGGTTTCACTTTAGTAATAAATTAATTGACTTCAAAATTCTCAACAAGATAGCTTGGTTCTACATTGTAATAATAAATACAAAATTTTCAAGTTCTATCCTAAATTCAATTAACCTCTCGCAATTTACCAACATTTAAGTAAGATGACCTTATCATTTAAGGTTAAACTTTTCTAATCACCTGAATGTTTCAGTTTCCAATGAAGCCTTTAAACGAATGTTTTCGGCCGTAAGATTGCGAATTTCTTCGTTCAAAACCTGCAGGGAATTCTTCAAATATCCTGCCTGCTGCAGATGCGTAGAATTCCCTTGTCCCCCATTTTTATCGGCTAAATCTTGTATTGCTTCGGAAAGTTTGACAGATTTTGCGGCAGATTCTAAAATCAATTTATTTAGCATACCATTTCGTTGTGTTTCAATTTGTTCATTACTTGCTTGCGTGAAATTTCTTAATACTTCCAAAATACCCATAAGCTTCACATTGTTATCCCGCTTCTTCCGAAGACTCTGCTTCATATCGTTTATGTTATTGACTTCTTTTTCTATGATAATATCGAGAATATTCTGAGTTTGGGCGGTCACATTCCGCAGATTCCTGACAATCCGAGCCGAGTGGCTGGACGTAGCATCAGACACTATGTTGACGCTGGAATTGCGGGAGCTCAAGAGAAATGTCCGTAGAGTTTCGTTGATCTCGCCACCCAACTCCGAGACTTGCGACGCCAAATCTGCGACGCCAGATATGGTTTAATTAAGAGGCGATAGTAACTCCAGGGACAGGTTAGTTAAGATGCACGGTAACTCCAAGGACAGGTTAGTTAAGATGCACGGTAACTCCAAAAACAGGCTAGTTAAAATGCACGGTAACTCGGCGGTAACTCGAAAAATATGGTAATCAAGAGGGCAATGGTAATTCTAGGGACAAGTTAGTTATGATGTGTGGTAATTCTGGAAACATGGTCATCAAAGGGTAACTACAGGAACATGTTATTAGGGATATGTGGTGGCGAGCGGCATGGTAATTAAAGGGACTTTGGCATCTAAGACCAGGTTAGTGAAAATTCTTGGTTACTTAATAAATAAATAAATTGATGAATGGACATGTTAGGATCGGATGGTAAATGAAAATAATTAACAAATGCAGTACAAAAATTTGACGATTGTATAACAAAATAAAAACCTTGCAAGGATGTGGTAATGGAGTCAAGGCTCGGAGGAGGATGTGGATGTGGTGAACGCACCACATCGAGCACCATCTTCTCCAGGAGCGCTACATTCTCGCGCGGCAGTTCGTTCACCTGGCAAAATTTGCATGCTTCTATGAATTCTATTAGGCCGTTAATTTAACTTTAATTACCACAAGATTAGTTATATTATTCATAGGGTCTAATACACTCATATGAGATTAATTTATCATCATAGGAGTCTCTACCATGATAATATTTTCATGTCATTAATAAATAATCCACGTTTCCACTAGGTGGCCTTGGAAAATTTGCACTAAATGAGTTGTTTGATTGAGATTGCGTATAGCAATGAAATGAATTCACATGAATAATTGAATGAAATTCAGATATAAAAATAGGAGTGGGTCAAAACAGTTGATAAAATATGTGTGATTTATCCTTAATTTGATAACAAATTTTGCATGTTATTTACGTGATGACGATACCTAATTTAATTTTTAATCTTCGCTGAAAATTTTCTTCGAAATTATTCTAATCTAAATATTGAATATCAAGAATAGCATTACTCGCTTTTGGGTATTGAAAATAAATCATTCTGCGCTTCCTAAAAGCAAGTAAATGAAAATACTTCTGATAATTACATTTTGCTGCAACTCTAATAACTCGCCTCCTGGATGTACGCTGACAAAAATGAGAAAAATATGAATGACTATTATAATAATAATAATAATAATAATAACAATATTAATAATAAGAACAACGACAATAATAATAATAAATTCATATTACAGGAACTTACCACGCAGTCCGAGTTGGAAGAGGCCGAATGCGTGACTGAAGATACGATGACAAAATTGATGAGGAAACGTGTTGGCAGCATAGCTTTATGAGGGAAAAATTACTTCCGCAAAAGTGATGAAAAAGGCGGAAATTTTTGATAAATATGAAGATTGGAGGAATATTTCGCAGGAACCCGGAACGATGGAAGGTCTTGGAGAGATCAAGGTTGTTGATAGATATGGTGGATAGTCGAGTTATTGATTTGTTGGAGAGAGAAAGACAATTGTTTTTATAATAGTTCAAGTTTTAATTTGATAGTTTGAGTGAAAAAAGAACGGTGAGTCATCGTAGATATAAAAATAAATTCATGAGTTTTGATAGAAATGAAGATACTTGGTAAGTAATGATATAATTGAGAAAATTTGTTGAGTGCTAAAAGAAATGAATAAAATTTGTTATTTCTTATAAAATTGAAGAAAGTTTAAATGAATAGGGTAGGGTTTCTTTCTTGGGCTCTCGATGCTCACGCAGGAAAGAAAGAAGAAATTGGATTCACAATTCGCAATTTAACCCGAGAAGATTTTGTCACAATTTCACATTACCGGAAAATTTAACTGGGACAAAAGACTAACTAAGATCAAGTTACTTTTATGACGATATATTTTCATGCATTAATTTAAATTATGATCATAAAAAATAAAATTACCTGTGAATGCTAATGAAACCGTTTTTTAATTTTACGAATATTTGATACATAGGCAGTGATTTTGAACTACTAAGACTTAATAAAAAGCGTTACTTTATCTTATCATTGGAGTGAGAATAGGAAAGGCCAGAGAAATTGAAAGTAAAAATAAATGCAATGAAATTCAACCGTACGGTTCAGTAACCGCTATTGAACAAAAAAATAATGTTTATTTAATTAAAAAGTATTGGGAGTCCTTCTAACAGAGTTATTCGTTTATGGTGAAACAAAAGAAACAAATCCGCTAGAAATTCATTTAGGCGATTTTTTCAATAGTTATTAGAAAATTGCCTTCGATCCCAAATGAGTGAAATAATAAATTTATCTCATGAAATTTATTTATCATACTTTACCGATCATTTTGGAAAGAACCTACAATTTTCCAGGAGCTGTTTTGAGCTTAAGAAAACCCAAACTCCGTTCGTCAGAATATTGAATAAATTTATCTGGTAACATCAATATAATATTATTATATTATATAATACAAGAGAGATTAATATGATATTATTATATTAATATAATAATATTATATTAATATAAGTCATAATGAGAAAAATATTTAACCCCGCAAAAAATTTACACATAAGAGCGTCACATGACAACAAGCCAGGCCGAGGATTATTAGCATTAGGCGCACCCCTCGATCCTCGCTCGCCTTGTAAATTATTTATGATTCCAATTTACGAACACTAGGAAAAATATGAATTAGGATCCGTCGTGCGAAGGACGAATATAGGAATGAAGAGTAAAGGAAACTGCTATGGCTGTTGCAAGATTCTTCTTCTCTTGGCCGCCTCCGTAAATTCGTACAAATGCTGGGTTTTAGTTCTGTGAAAAATTTTTAACTGTAACATATGAACCGTTGAAAATTTTACAACCGTAATTTGTGCAGTAATTTTCGCCCGGTAAATTGTAAATTTAAAAAACAGTAATCTCTTCAATAATCTAAAAATATTTATATTTTGATGTAAACCTTCCCCGCACAAAATAAAAATGTACATGGAAAATATGCATCATAAATTCAGAGATCATTGAACAAACTAAAAATCCATGTGTAAAAAATGATGGAAAAAATTCATGTTATGGAATAACGAAATTTTTTAAATAAAGTTTATTTATTCAAAAATTCAAACGTAATTTATATATTGCAAATATGTATCGAAACTATGTACAAGGCGGGAGTACAAGAGTTCACAAAAAACAGAACACATTCCTAAAAGCGGTCACGGCGATCGCAAATGCCCCGCTAATCGATCGTAATTCGACATCAGTGATTGGCAGGCGTAATTAAAAACCTGAATGGTGATGGGCAGATGCATGCACGATGTGCTCATTAATTCAGAGGGCCTGACCCCTGCTGTGAGAACCACGGCGGTGCACAGTGAACCACGGCGGTGCACAGCGAACCACGGCGGTGCACAGCGAACCATGGCGGTGCACAGCGCACTACGCGGTGCACAGCGAACCACGGCGGTGCACAGCGAACCATGGCGGTGCACAGCGAACCATGGCGGTGCACAGCGGAACACGGCGGTGCACAGCGAACCATGGCGGTGCACAGCGCACTACGCGGTGCACAGCGAACCACGGCGGTGCACAGCGAACCATGGCGGTGCACAGCGAACCATGGCGGTGCACAGCGGAACACGGCGGTGCACAGCGAACCACGGCGGTGCACAGCGGATCAGCGAGGTGCACAGCGGCTACAGCGGTGCACAGCGGATCACAGCGGTGCACAGCGGCTAGGGCGGTGCACAGCGAATCATGGCGGTGCACAGCGGCTAGGGCGGTGCACAGCGGATCACAGAGGTGCACAGCGGCTACAGTGGTGCACAGCGGATCACAGAGGTGCACAGCGGCTAGGGTGGTGTACAGCGGATCACAGAGGTGCACAATGGCTACAGCGGTGCACAGCGGGTCACAGCGGTGCACAGCGGCTACAGTGGTGCACAGCGGATCACAGAGGTGCACAGCGGCTAGGGTGGTGCACAGCGGATCACAGAGGTGCACAGCGGCTAGGGCGGTGCACAGCGGCTTAATTGGGCGGTGCACAGTGGACCACAACAGTGCTCAGCAGTGCACTGCACTGAACAAACTCATGCTCGCACCAGCCTGTGCACTCACTGCAAGTGCAATTCTACACCGCTCCTGCACTCGCCTGGCAGCGCTTGCACGGCCAACGCTGCGATAAAGAGAGGCGGCCTCTCCGACTGGCTGCACGGTGTGCGAGTCGATGAATATTCCCTATTTGATAACAGTTGTGCATGTCAATTTATTTTTTAGGTATCTTACTAGCATATTCAATCAGCGTTAACCCCGGTATAGATAGTCGCAGCGGTTAGGAAATCCCGAATCCTGTCAAATTGAATCCTGTCATCCCGTATCTAGTTGATGATTTATAAACAAACGTACGCTATTAAAAGTGTGTCCCATTCCCATCAACATTCATCATAGACTTTCTTTTCAAATTCTTATTTGAAAATTTGGCTTTCATTAATAAATTTACAATGAATTTATTTCCAAACGGTTCAAATGTAAAATCACATTCAATTCAGCCATCTATCCTTCCCAGTCTTGTTATGCTTCATTATTCTTAGTTTGAGTATAAAATTCCAGGTCGAGTTAATATCCCGATATGACAACAATATTGAGGCAACACGACCGAACAGCTTCTTTTTATCTTCGGGGCCGGGTTTCTAACTCTCTCAAACACACAAACTTTCACATATGTAAAATTGTTAAGTGAAATCTTGCGTACAAACAACTTTTCCTTTTGAAAATTATTAGCGGTAGTTAAGTTATTGAGGATCAATTATCGTTCATTTTAATATCTTGCCTGCACAATAAGTTCCCAAATGTTTTTTTTTTCTTTAGATACACTACCTATGGAGTTTTTGCTAAATCAAAAACCGTTGAAAAATTGCTTTAAGCTTCGAAAAAAGGCATTAAACATGGACTTCGAAAAATACATAGAAAAAGAACTTTGAAAAAGACATAAATCATGGATTTCATAATAGACATTAAACACGGACTTCACAAAAGACAACAAACATAGACTTTTAAATAGACATAAAACATGGACTTTAAAAAGACATTAAACATGGACTTCAAAAAAGACTTTAAACATGGACTTCAAAAAAGACATTATACATAGACTTGAAAAAAGCCATTATACATAGACTTAAAAAACATTGAACATGGACTTCAAAAAGACATTAAGCATGGACTTCAAAAATACATTAAACATGGACTTCAAAAAATATATTAAGCATAAACTTCGAAAAGACATTAAACATGGACTTCAAAAAAGTCATTAAACATGGACTTCAAAAAAGACATTAAACATAGACTTCAAAAAAGATATTAAACATTTTCTTGCATATTTTGATGATGGCAACGGGTAATATGTTCGTGCATATTTTGATGCTGCAACGGGTTATATGTTCGCGAATATTTTAATGATGGCAACGGGTAATATGTTCGTGAATATTTTGATGATGGCAAAGGGTAATATGTTCGCGCATAGTTTAATGGTGGCAACGGGTAATATGTTTGGGCATATTTTGATGATGGCAACGGGTAATATGTACGTGCATATTTTGATGATGCAACGAGTAATATGTTCGTGCATATTTCGATGATGCAACGGGTAATGTGTTCATGCATATTTTAATGATGCAACGGGTAATATGTTCGTGCATATTTTGAGGATGCAACGGGTAATATGTTCGTGCATATTTTGAGGATGCAACGGGTAATATGTTCGTGCATATTTTGATTATGGCAACGGGTAATATGTTCGTGCATATTTTAATGATGCAACTGGTAATATGTTGGTGCATATTTTAATGATGGCAACTGGCAACAGGTGATATGTTCGTGCACATTTTGATGATGGCAACGGGTAATATGTTCGTGTAAATTTTAATGATGGCAACAGGTAATATGCTCGTGCATATTTTGATGATGGCAACGGGTAATATGTTCGTGCATATTTTGATGATGGCAACAGGTAATATGCTCGTGCATATTTTGATGATGCAACGGGTAATATGTTCGTGCATATTAAAACCGTGCATATAGACAGGGTGCATATTTATACCGTGCATGAATTCATCGAGTTTATTTACACTATAAATATTTGCAGCGAGCATCTCTGTGTGCGCATATTTCTTTGGAATAAATTCGGTTTAAAGATCAAAAAATTGATGAATAGACGTGCAAATATTATGGAAATGCAAAAAAATAAGCATTATAAGTATCTTACTTTGGAGTTTACGGTTCATTCTTGATCGATCACTGGTATAGGAATTGACAGTGAAACGTTTATGCTTTAATGAATTTTTTTTAAATCTAGAGAAGCATGATGATATTCTTTCCCAGTAACGTTTCGAAAAAATAGAACAGGTTGCATATTTTCAGAAAATCTTTTAAGGCAGTAGTTACCGCTGAATAACATGGGCTCTGGCAATTACAACCAAATGAAGCATCGTTAAAAACA